TCGCCCTTTCTTCACCAAATTGGTCTTCCTGCGCGACCATTCCAGCTATTGATTCTTTTTCAGCCGATACATACACTTTCATTGGCCGTCCTTGAATTGGTGACACCAACACTGGTGGACTTGATAAATATGTCTTTAAGCTTTCAAAAGCCTTTTGATGCTCTTCTTTCCACACGAATTTGTCCTGATTTTTCAACTTTAAAAGCGGCGAAAAAGCTTTACTTCGCCCTGCACAGTTAGAAATAAAGCGTCTTAAAAAGTTTGCTGATAATCTATGTTCCACCAAATCTCTATCTAAACCAGGCATATGTTCGTATTCCAAAGCAAAACAATCTTTGTACTCCTTTAATAAAGCGATTAATTTATCACTAACCTCTTGATCGAGCATTTGGCTGATGAACGTTGGGCGATCTTCTCCTTCATTGCCAATATTCACTTTAATCAGAGGGTCTTGTACTTGAGCGTATCCAGGTTTGACGATCCTTATCACTTCGTTGTCCAGTTCCCTTATAGGCACTTCTTCTTCTAAACAATCCACCTTGTTAACTTCTCAGCCAATACTTTGTTCCAATTCGAACACTGCCAATTTGTCTCTCAATGCTTTCAAGGCTGCTACTTTTTTCGTCTTGTTGTTACATTCTTTATTGAAAGCTATTAATTTGGCTTTGAAGGCCTGAATATCGGCCATTTGCCTTTGTTGCTTACGACTCATTTAAAACTCCTTGATTATTCTTTTGCCAATTACTGGCTCCTCCAGGGCCACTATGTTTGGCCTCATCTGACTGAACATTTCAGTGAGTGCATCCACCAAAAATGGCTCTTCACTCTGCGCGACAATCTGAGTTTCTTCTCCATCTTGGACTACTCTGACAGGTCCATAATTTCCTTCGTACATGAACCTTTCCACTAAGTTTGCTTCTGCGACAAAAGGCCTATGATCGGCCTGCACCACCTCTGCTTCGCCCTTGTCATTCCAAAAAACTAGGCACTGATGGAGCGATGAGGGTATACAGCGACTTCCGTGTAACCAATCTCTTCCTAATAACACATTGTAACTAGTGGGACCATCTATTACAAAGAAAATTGTGGTCCTAGTAGTTGTTCCTATAGTTATGTCCAGTGGCATAACCCCTTTAGCTGAAGTTGCTCCTCCATTAAAACTTGTCAGGATGACTTCCGTTGGGATCATTTCACTTTCTGTCTTTGCGAATTTCCTCATCATCCTAGATGGAATGGTGTTTATAGCTGCTCCATTATCGACAAGTACTTTTGCCACAAATATGCCGTTAACTAGAGCTTTAACGTATAATGGCCTCAAGCGTTTGGTCAATTTCATGGCTGGTCGCTTAAAAATAACTTTTTCGGCAGCATCATTTCCACTTCCTTCTTGTCTTCTGTCGAGTTACCCTTTTGCGATAAGTCAACGTGCAGCATATCGCACTGAGCCTCTGTCTCCTGAATTTCCTTTTTACCATTTTCTAATGCTTCTTCTTCAGTTACCCAACCTGTGCGAGGAGGCATTATTCTTGGAGGTGATCCATACTTTTCAGAGCGAGGCACTCTCTTCTTCCTTTTGGACATCTCGTACAGCACGTAATAATCAAAAGAACGCCCAGATGGTTCTCCCAATAAGTCTACTTCACAAACTCCCTCTCGATGTAGTTGCTTCAACAGAGTATTGAACGATACTCCTCTTCTTCTCCTTTCTGCTTCCAGATCAATTTCATCTTCGATGTCTGTCATACCATCATCTTCTTCACCATTGTAGGCCTCTCTAGAAGTTTGGCCTTCTTCATATTCCAACATGCATGCTTCCTCTTCGTTATCCTCCTTTTCCTCTTCTCCCTTCTCTTTATTCTTGAACTCATTGGCTAGTAAATAGTTATTAGCCACGATAGGAGGTAACGGACCAAACTGAATAGTAAGGGACTGATCTGGATCTTCTCCATCCCTTCTGTCTCACTCAAACTTCGACCTCCCAGAAGAAGTCTCTGGCAATTCTTCCATAGGTTCGCTTGTACCAGTCTCTTCACTGTCTTTGAGAACATTTTTATTGGCTGCCTCGAGTAGTCTAGGTGCCTTAGGACGTAGCATTCCCTGTTGTTGCCTCATCATTTGCCCATAGTTTCGTTGAAAACGCTTTTGTTGGATTCTAGTCATCTCGTTGAAAGGTATCGCCCTTCCAGCCTTATATTGGAATGAATGCCATACATTTGGTTAGCGAGGTTGCGATTTGAATGTTCTCCCATTATTTACTGACCTGAACAACCTCTCAAAAGGTGGTCTCTTATAGAACGATGTACCCAGCTCTCTACCAGGCTGAGCTTTTGGGAAAAAACTAGGACGATGGTGATACTGCCATATCCCTAGTTTCTCTGCATTTGCACTCACTTTTTTTTTACATCTTGCACATAGGACGTCTTCGTCCTTTTTGGGCTCCTTCCCTTTGATACGTTCAAAGACACTGGGATGTGGTCCATGGTCTTTTTCTCCATCATCTATAACCAACTTGAATTTTGGCAACTTGTTTTTGAAACCAGACGTCACCATGTTCATTCCAAGTGGCTATGGAAAAGGATTTTCATCCACTGCCATCTTCCTCTTATTCTCGAACGTAATTTGTCCTGATTCAATGGCATCCTATAACACATGGCGAAAAACCAAACAGTTGTTAGTCAAATGTGATCATGCATTATGCCACTTATATTTTTTACCCTTAACTTGTTCAGGGCTTGGCAATTTATGCGTATCGTTCAGTTTTATCTGCTTATCCTTATATAATTTATCAAATATAAGGTCAGTTTTGGTTATATCGAACAAGAACGTTCTAGCCTTTATGTTTTCACCCTTTATAGGCTCATCCTTGCCCGACGGTCTAGGCTTAACCATAAGTATATGTGTCTCCTTTAACTAATTCAACCAAACACATTTCGGTTTGATCGTAATAATCGTCATTAATGGTATGAACATCAAAATTTGGGTCTCTATAATAAGTCCCCTTGCTAGAATTTTTCGTTTGTTCTTTTTTTATTATTAATCGTTCATACCTAATCACGTTCGCACTCAATTGAAAAATATCAGAAAATTCCTTGTCTTGGAATTTCTTTTTCAAATTAAAGCTTAAGCAACCTTGAGCGATTTTGACAAACTCCTTTTCGGGTAGAGATACAAAACATTTACTTCTTGCCGTCTTGAACTTTTGTAGGAAACCTTCTGCCCATTCATTTGGCATTTGACGTAGATTCGCCAAATTGGCCAAAGTAACTTCAGACTCGGTCTTATAAAACTGAGCATGGAACAATTGCTCCAATTGTTGCCATGTTTGGACAGAGTTTGCTGACAAATTGATTAACCAGGAGAAGGCTACTCCTATTAATGAACTGGGAAACAGCCTCATTTTATGGTAATCAGTTACGTCACCACTTTACAGTGTGAATCGCCCTATGTGTTTTAGAGTAGACACCTCTCATAAACTAGTAAACAGTGAGAATTCTGGCACTTTATACCCTCTAGGCAATGAATATGCTTGGTCTACCCAATCAGGATATGGCTTTGTGTAAGTCGACCTAGTGACAGGACGTACTCCAAAAGCTATCTGGTCCCGTACGATTTCCATAATCTGATTCCTCAACATGACGTTGGGGTCATATGGAATTCCTACAGGTTGGTTGATCGGTTGATTTACTTGAGGCCTGATGCTTGGTCCTTGGTTGGCAACAAAGTTGCCATGATTTAGACCATTGTTACCATTAGCCTTAACATTTATTCTATCATTAACACGAGGGATATTCTGCCCATTATTTAGGACATTATCTCTTACATTTAGATTACCCCCCAAGTTAGATGTACCAATGCCACTATTCTGATTTGGTATTACACCACCCTCCTGGTTTGAAGTAGAGGGGTCAAAGTTGGTTCTACCCCTTGATTTAAACTTAGGACTGAGGGATTATGTCCCACAATTGTTCTAGTTTGAAAGTGGTTTGCAAGAGGCACAACTGGCTAACAAATTTGGCCTACTAACTTATTCATTATTTCGTTCAAAGTATTCAGTTGTTTGGCCATGTTGTCATAATGTGCATTCACATTCTGAGTAAATCTTTAATATTATGAATATTTCGTAGATTTACCTGTTCAACGACATCTTGTGTGAGTTCTTCGAGTAATGCACGCATGGTTCGAGGACTCAACTCTGTCATTGGTTCGTAACGACTATGATTGCTCTGATCCTGTCCATTTGTTCGTGAAGAGCTATGCTGCTCCTCATAACGTTCGATTACAGACTGGACTCCTCCCTGGCTTGCTGCTTCCTTATCAAATTTCTGAGGCATATTGTTTCACCTTTTGTATCTTCAACACCAAACACCAATGTCCCACTGGGCGTGCCAAATTGTTTCGCGCGGGTAGTCGCTAACAATTAAAAAGGGATCAGACGATTGTGTAAGGAACAAACCTCTTGAGACAAAGTCCCAAAAAGAGGTGTTTTATTGGCGATGACTTTACAATTGGAACTTAAACAGAATGCCTCCAAGGGGCGCAAGCACACGAGTACTGAAAGAAATGTTTAAGTCTAAACTAAGAAATTGAAATTACATATTCTCTGTTTGAGAGTGTTTGATTCGGGGTCCTCTACTCTATGTCTTTTCTTCCTTTTATATTTCTTTGATGATCTCTTCGTGATCAACCACTTAGAAACTGCTTAATTGCTTTATAACTGCCCACTTTTCTCATGGTGGCCAACTTATCATGGAACTGTCGTCTCTAACTGCTGCCACTACTCTTTGTCGCTCAACCGTCTTCAACTGAACTCCTTAAATCGTAGAACGTGATAAGATTACTCAATAACTGTTTCGATAATATGCACTTTTGGATAACCATAACATCTTATGTTTGCTAAAATTTTGGACGATTCGAAGGTTTGGGCGAGAATAGGGTCATAAATCTGGGCGACTGTAAGGCACTTCATTCGCTCAGATTTTGGGCGTCTTGCAAGTTTGGGCAATGGTGTTACCGCATTCGGGGCTTCCACTGCATTCATTAATAATCCTATTCGGGCCTTTATCCTGAATTGCCCAGTAAGCTTTCATGCTTTGGGCTATTCGATTTGGACTGCACTTTTAGCGTGTCAACAACTTCAATATCAAATTATGCCTTCAGGATAAATTCATAGTTCATCTCATGGAGTTTCCAAACTGTTGGAAAACTATGCTGGAATACTTTAGGGCACTGGAAAAAATGAAAACAGAATAGCACTCTGGTTCATTTTTGTGTGTTCATCGATATTATCGGTGCAACAAATTAAATTAGATTGCATTTTCAACTTGGTATACATTGTTAAGTTAAATTGAATTAAGTACTAGAGTGATGACAGTGATCACATGAATGATTTTGCTTCTATAGACACTAATTTACACTGCATCGGATTTTATTTTCTCTTCCAAAGTGAGAAGCCCTTTTTTTGCTTTTCTTTTTGAATATAGTGTGACTGACATTTGATTTTTTTTTCTTTTCTTTAAAATTAAAAAAAACAAGGCTGGTGTTAGAACTGATGTCAAAGTGCAAGTTGGAGAATGGTCATGGGATACAGCTTCAGGTGAAGAATTTCGAGTGGGTGCGGGACTGGCAGAGCCTTATTCCATCACTTGGTGTGCGGTAGAATATTTTGAATCAACTGGTTCTATCTTGCACTTGCTCCTCCAATATATCTCCCCCAATACTCCACTATGGAAGAACTCTACTCCACCATGTCATTCTCTGTGGCAATGCAGGAGCCACCAAGGTGCTTCTGAAATGTGGCGCTCACATAGAGACCAAAGTCAAAACCACTCAAAATACTCAGTTTCGGCCAATACATATGGCTGCCCGTCTTGGAATGACAGCGATTCTTCAGTGTTTAATTGATTCCGATTGTGATCTGAATTCAAAAACAGAGACCGGTGAAACTGCTTTAATGATCTGTGTCAAATACAAGCAGGAAGAATGCCTTAAAGTATTGGCCAGGGCAGTTGCTGATTTTGGATTGGTTAACATAGGTGGCCAATCTGCAAGTTCTATTGCTGGGTCCTGTGGGTGGTATCTTGGCTTTCAACAAACATTGCTTGATGTGATTCGAGATGGGAAGGTGCCCAAATGTAGCAACATTTTTGTATTTTCACCTCTACTATTTGTAGCTCAATCAGGAGATGTTCTAGGCTTTAAAGCTCTGATTGGAAAGGGAGAAATTGACCTTGATGAGCAGGTTGAAAGAGGTTTCTCTGCAGTTATGGTTACAGCAAAGGAGGGTCATGTTGATACCTTCCGATTGCTTGTTTTTGCTGGGGCTGATGTAAAGCTCTGCAATAAGTATGGTGAAACTGTTATTACATTGCCAATAGTATTGACTAATAGAGATCTCTTTGAAAAGGTTATGCTTGAGTTTGCTCTTGAAAAGGGAAATCGCATCGCGGGAGGATTTTATGCATTGCACTGTGCAGCTCGCCGAGGGGACCTGGACGCGGTCAAGTTGTAGACAAGTAAGGGTTATGATGTCAATGCCTCTGATGGGGATGGCTACACACCCGTCATGCTGGAGGCGAGGGAGGGACACGGAAGGACGTGTGAATTCCTGATCTCTTGTGGAGCACACTGGGACATAAAAAATGCTAGGGGCGAAACGGCATTAACACTTGCGAAAAGTAATGGACGGCAGAACGATACTGAGAATGTGATCCTAAATGCACTTGCACGCAAGCTAGTGCTCGGCGGTTCACCCATGCGAAAGCACACCAAGGGAGGGAAAGGATCTGTGCACTCAAAAATTGGGCAAATGGTGGGATGTACTGGAGTTTTGCGTTCCGGAAACTTGAGCCGTCGCAATGTTATATGCCGAGAGGCAGAAGTAGGACCAAGTTTATGCTTTCAGAGAAATAGGCAGAGGAAAGGTGATGCCATTGAACCTGGGATTTTTCGAGTGAACACGACAAAAAACAAGGAAGTGCATTTTATGTGTGAGGGTGGACTTGAAATGGCAGAGTTGTGGGTGCGTGGAACAAGGCTCGTGACAAGAGAGGCTATTTTAGTTAATTAGAAAGGCCTTGGTAGTGCTGAAGAAATTTCTAGGTTGTACAGATATGTAGCAGTACTTCATCTTGAAGTACTTGGAATTGTTCCATTTCGATGTAAAGGTTTTGATTGCCTTTGTTGTATGAGATAATTGAGATGAAATCTTTAGATTCATTCTGGTAGGACAAGTCTCAGGCATCATAATTCATTAATTATTGTTTTAGAATTGTACTGGAAAGAGCAAAAGGATAATATCCAACATGTTAGTCAAGATTGCACAAAAAAGTGTAACATCGCCCGCAAATCATTTACATGGCAAGAAAAAAGGTGGATCATTCACTGTCTACGTGCTTTTCTTGTATATGTAGTCTACAATCAGTGCAATTCATATCTCTATTGAATATGTTCAAACTCATTCTCATTTTGCTCATCACATGTACAACAATTCATATTATAAGGGCAATCAAACATCCTTATCTTGAAATTTTACTTTTAACTTTAAGGATCCTCAACTAATCAAATCTAAACAGTGAGAATTTGACTATCCGAGTTTTAAATTATTGTGAAATTCTAATTTTAAGAGCACGAGTTGAAACATAAAAAAGAAAAAAAGGGGTAAACAAAATAAAATTGAAGCTTCATTTCTTAGTTCAACTAGAAGTGATCCTTTTTTTTTCTTTTTCTTTTTTTATCTCAAACAGACAACTCTCAATTCCCGTCAAAAAAATAAAATAATTTGGGCAGAGGAAAGGAAAGAAAATGAAAAGAGGTAAAAAAAAAAATAATAATAATAATGGAGACTTTTGACTAGCCTGAAATACGTACATCCTCACCTTCGAAAGCCAACTGAAGAGCTCCTGCTCGTGCATGTTCTGCCAGCACAACTATCAACTGGCTTTAAAACGGGCTTGCGACTTTAGTTTGGACTGGAGAAGTTTTGTCCCCAGCGGCTGATATTTTAACGAGACGACATATCCCAATCTTCCATAAACCACTTTTCTCAGATTTTTCTTGCTGCCGCACAGATTTACAATCCATTTACTAAATCCTTAACTGGCCCAAAACAGTTGCGCAAGATGAAAGCCTCCACTTTTGTTAGACCTGCTCTATTTGTTTCAAGAACAACCTTTCCCCACTCAAGGTACGTTCTTTTTTAATTGAGATAAATGTGTTTAATTCTTGTTTTGTTTACAAATCCAACGTCACTATTGTTTTAACGGCACTATGTTCCGTCAAAGTGTGTTGTTTTCTCATTCTTGTTCTCTGAATGCAAAGGAAAGATCTAATTTGATGACAAATAGCTCATTTGGTAGACAATGGAAGTCCAAGGCCAATTAAAAATATATAGTTTAGTGGCAATGTAATCACACCAACCCAGGTTTTATTCATTTGAAAATCAATACAAGGACCTTACCTCTACGAAGTTTACAACAGAGAAAACCAAAAAGAAACGAAGCTTTAATCTATACAGTTATTAAGCAAGCTCTATTTGTCTAGCCTTAGTAGTCCCAAGATTTCTCCAGCCATATCTCAAGGCCCTCTCTTTATATTTGGTGTAAGCTAACCAATTTGTCACTAAATTCCCTTCTCTTCAAATGGGAGTAAAGTTAACTTCAATGATTTAGTTGCCAATGATTTATTTGCTCCAGATGGTATTGTACATGCCAAGAGCCAGGTATATCTTAAGTTATAAATTAAACAGAAGCTGGTGGATCTACTTCAACCCAAACTTTTTTAATATTTGCCTAAATCCAGTGCCCAAATCACTAATTTCAGCTTCTAGAAGAGAACAAGAGCCATAAGACTCATAATAGCTATAATCACAACACTTTTGTGTCAAGTTTGTTTTGCCTTTTAGACAACCATCAGAATTGAGTTTAAAAGTTCCAGAGTAGTGTTTCCAGTTTCATTCTAATTTCCTATGCATTGATTTTAATACCGTTGTCCAAAGAAATCTTTCTTTCCTTTTTCCCATTAAATTCTACAAGTTTTTAGTTTAAGAAGATATGCATAGTAGCAATCAAACAATACCATCAACAACAACACTGAATACAATAAAAAAAAGAAGTCTTTGTACATCTAAACTATGACAGTGGACATTATATTGGCTGCAAAATATTCTGCTTTATGCTAAAATGGAAAACAGAGATAACTATTAATGATACAAAATATATAGTCTTCGCTAGTGTGGAAATGCGTGAACAAATGAGAAAAGAAAACGAAAGGAAAAAGAGAGTAGAATCGGAAGGTGAAGAAATTTGCATAAAATATGAGGCATCAGCTGCACAGAAATTACTTCTGAGCTGAACTGCTTCTGTCACTGACATGCGTTATTTTGACAAGAATTGCCTCCTCAAATGCAACTTCAATTTGTTCTGGAATGTCAGCTTGACATCTAGAAAAATTTTGAAGAACTATTTCATGGTCCCTAGTGATTCCAGTTCTGTGCCCAAAACCCCTTTATGCTTCTAGTTTTGCTCTGATGTTTCTCACTTTCAGACTTACAGACCATTTACAACACGCTTCAAACACCCAAAATATTCAACTGCCCTAAGGTAAGTACAAAAAAAAAAAGGACCTTCATACTTTTTATCAAGTCTCCTTTTCTGTGAAGAAGAAATTTCTCCCACTCAAGGTACTTCCCCACTTTCCTTTTTGATGGTTCCTTTTCTTCCCATTACCTACCAGTGAGAAAGCAACTATTTTTTACTCTGTCTAATTGGACACTAATCTAATATAACTCTTCTTTGTATTGCATTATGTTCCATGAATGTGCTGGTTTGTGCTCATTCTTAAATCTCGAATGTAATTTAAAGTTCTAATGATTGTTGAGTGCTTCGGTTGTGGCAGATAACTTTTGGTGGACTATTTATTTGGTTATTGGAAATTTCATTTGTATTATTATGTTGAACTCTTGGGTATTTATAGTTCAATTAACACGGGACCCAATTGATGACTTCAGTCTTCCACTCACTGGAAAAAGGTTGCCTTCAATTATTGATCTGTAATGGTTGCATACCATAGACAAAAAAATAAAATAAAATATTCAAAAGTCAAATGATAAGCTTTCAGCCGTAGAAGCAGAATATTGACAGTTCCCAAAATAGAAATTATTTTTTTCTTTTCAAATGTATGCAAAATGTACACCTTCTATATTTACTTTAAACCCTTGTTTGTGGCTGAAACATTTGACTATAATCGCCATGCCTTCTTTGCACCATAACTGTCCAGTTAAGGGCACGTAATTGAATTGAAACTGCTCCATATGTATTGTGTTATATGTGTCCATGAATATATGCAGGACTCGAGTCTCTTTTGCCCGGAAGGTTTTCTTTTGCCAAGCAAAGTACAGTAAGCTATTAAAACTCTTAAAATGCTCAACGTGCATGCATGTTTTTACCACTTTTTCCAAAATGATATTGTTGTATTTTTCTTGATTGATTGACAGGTGATTCTGGAACAGATGGAAAATTCAGCTTGAGGGTGGTTTCTCCAACTTTGTTGGCTGCAGAAAAGGAAGAAGCCAAGGCTGTCCTAACCTTGTTCTTGAAGAAACAGGGATTAAGTAATGTGGTGGCAGCAAGAACTATCAACAAGTCAGATGCTTTTGTTGATCATCTAGTGTCACAGCTCCATTCCATTCACAAGTCTCGCTACTTAGTAGGTTTGGGTTCTAATTTTGTTTTCCCCCATATAGAACACTTGAAAGCAATAACTTTCTTTTGAATTCCCAGGAGAACCTCACAAAGATTTCTTGGTATTACAGGTCGGGAACTTTCCACTCTCGAGATCCGGGAAGCTCTCATTCCATACCTGGAGACACTCCTGGAGGAGTTTGGAGGCATTTTGGTAGATGTTGTGGAAAACTTTCCAGCACCACCTGTTGAGGAAAGATCAGAAGAAAATGTTCAGAATCAAACAGTAATAGAAACTTCAGTTGCATCAGTTTCTCCTTCTGTTGCTTCCCCCGAGTCAGGGAAGTTAAGAGCCTTGGCTCGAGTTAGTGACATCAGCCCAACTGGGAAGCTTCCTTCGCACATTGTCTACCTTGTAGATCTCGGCATGGAACTTGAGGCAATCAGGGAAGTGATACGCAAGTTCCCTGCTTTTGCCTACTATAGTCTGGAGGGGAAAATCAAGCCAGTTGTTGAATTTCTTCTTGATCTAGGCGTGCCGAAATCAGACATACCCACCATCCTAACCAAAAGACCTCAGCTTTGTGGAATTAGTCTCACTGAAAATCTGATCCCCACCATGGCATTTCTTGAGGATTTAGGTGTGGATAAAAGATAGTGGGCAAAAGTTATCTATCGCTTTCCACCTCTTCTCACTTACAGCAGACAAAAACTGAAAGCAACCGTGGATTTTCTCTATGAAATGGGACTCTCAGCCGAGAATGTGGGTAAGGTTCTCACACGCTGTCCAAATATTTTAAGTTACAGTGTGGAGGATAAGTTACGACCAACTGCTGAGTATTTCCGTTCGCTGGAGGTTGATGTTACCGTTCTTATTCATCGATCTCCTCAAACTTTTGGTCTTAGCATTGAGGCTAATTTGAAGCCCGTGACAGAATTTTTCCTCGAAAGGGGATATAGTTTGAGGGATATTGCAACTATGATCTCAAGATATGGAGCATTGTATACTTTTAGCTTGCCAGACAACTTGATATCGAAATGGGAATTTTTCCTGACCATGGTTTATCCAAGATCCGAGTTAGTTAAGTTTCCACAGTATTTTGGTTACAGTTTAGAAGACAGGATCAAACCTCGATATGAAATTATGAGAAAATGTGGAGTCAAGTTACTACTCAACCAGATGTTGTCTGTCTCGGAAGAAGACTTCCATAAACTTCTGAAGAAAAAAACGGAGAAAATGCTTGATGATTAACTTCTATGCATTGTATGTAGTAGATACAGTTCAATATTAAAGGGTGTAGTAAATGTTCGTTTAAGATAAGAACTTGATTCGGATATGGTGTTTACTAGTAATGAATATTAGCTGTTTCTTTAAGATTTAATCAAATATTAGAATGATTTTTGTTATGCTTATAAGCTGAAGAATGTTGGGAAATTAATTGCTGAATATTTTGCCTACAGAGGTCCACTGTTCACAGATGGACAAGGTGCCCAAAGAGCATGGGTCGCTCCCAACGAACCAAGAACTCTGCAATATCCATATCCTGCACTTCGTCATCCTCCCCAGAAATTTTTAAAATTTTAATTATTGACAATGCACAAAATAACATAGTAATAAACATGTCACTGACATCTTATCAGAAAAGGAGGCAAATAACTCATGCTGCGAAGCACAACCCCCCCCCCCCCCCCCCCCCCGCCCAAAAGTGATACAGTGGCCAAAAGCATCTCTCATACGTAATTCTGAGACATGTTCAGCCATATGTCATCACAAATAAAGAGTGTGGCAGTTGCATGGCCATAGCTTCTGCTCCCCAATGACCCACTGGTTTTGAGAAAAGGTATTTTATGCCCTATTTCCCCTTATTTCTATTTTTTGGGAGGCCAGGAGTAGGAGGTTGATGAGGTATTGCCTTAGAGGACTCTTTGATAAGTATATGGTGGTATTTTATCTCAACCCACGAGAAACAATTCGCTGAGAACTAAATACTCATCTATTCAAAGAGAACCCTGTTCCTATCTTTATCAGAGACATATTTAGAAGATATAAAAATATTTTTTTTTGAATCCCAGTACTCAGTTTCAAGTTCTCCCAAACTCATCCACGTTTTGAAAAGTCTACTTACATTGTACTTTAACACCATTTCCAACATTGCAAGATATTGGTTGTCCCATAGACACTACTCACAAGAATGTCTGAATAACCTAGAGGGTAACTAATCATTTTTAATATAAAGAATACACATACTGACGTAAAATATATATTTAAGGGGAAGGAGAGAGATACATACTTTCAGGAGTGCATCTCCGACTCCGACCAAAATTATGGACTCCCACGTAAGTTGCCTTAACAGCACTAATGTTATAAACAAGCAGGGTGGGAAGATTTCGATCTGGATAGTTAGGAATGCACTCTGTGGATATAATTCTGACAAATTTTGTTGCAGTATATATTGTTGCCAGTGCTTCTATACGTTCCAAAAGCAGCCGGCACTCTGGAATTCTATCGAAAGAATAACAGTTAATAATGGAATTCTGGATGTTGCCAATATTAAATTTGGTGGTAACCCAAATAAGATCACAATCATTAGTGCGCTTGATAAGTGTTGTACCCATCCTTGTACAACATCACGACTACCCAGACATCAGGAGAAGCTTGTGAAACTTCACGTACAAAATCTGATCCTGAAATTGGAACCACGAACCTAACCGGGCAATCTTGACGGCTTCTCTCGTTTCCGTCAATCTCTTCTTCCTACGACAATTAGCATATAACAAGACATAAGAATTAGAAGTGTTACTTTCTCATCTCGGGTTCTACAATCATTATGATCTATTCCTTTTCCTTTAAGAACTCGGCAGTAGTGTTTTATTGATTTATGTGCTTATCTTTTATGTGGGTCTTTCTTCCGCTGTTAGTCGCTTAGCGCTACTTCCCCTTGTTTACTCATGACCAAGGGGGCATTTTGTTGGCTGACGAAATGGAAACTGTGGCAATCCTCCTTTTCTTTTTTCTTTTTTAACATTACTGGAATTCTTTGTCTTCCATCTCAAAGATAGTAACCAAAGACGCCAAAAGAAATATCTACAACCTTTCACCCCTGAGAATTCTGTCTTCAGCCCCAAAATGAAATTTTGAAGAAAAATAAATCAACATCACAGCTTTTCAAGCCATTCATTAGAACTCAACTTCCCATAAAACATCTTAAACAAAAATGGTGAAATGATATCCCTCTGTTTTTCAAGGTCCAGTGAAAAAGAGCAATATTGATACACCATCTCCAAGTCCAAAGAAATAAAATAAAATAAACGGACCCAAAGAAGAAGTTCATGGTGGCCTCTGTTACACACTAGTCTGATTCCTTCTATCGAAAATAAAGAACCGCAAAGTTGATTGTGAGCACCGAACGAGTTCCTTTCACTATTATTATTACTGCCAGGGGCGGAGCCAGGATTTATGTCCAGTGCGGGCATAATTTTTCGACGCCAAACTTCGAGGTTTTGGTCATAGATTTAATGATGATAAAAAAATAAAACAATATTACGACAACACCAAAAACGATATAATTTATATATTAAACTTGTTCCTTGCGAGTTTTCATATTTTGATATTGTTGTACAATAACTTCATTATCGAGCTTCAAAAATATATCTCTCTACATAAACAATAGTGCTATCATTCATCCATTGATCACCCATCCGATTGCGCAATCTATTCTTTACGATGCTCATTGCAGAAAACACTCTCTCCACAGTAGCGGTAGCAACCGGTAAAATTAATGCTAAACTCAAAAGTTTGTAAACCAATGGATATACCTTATCTTTCTTTGTCAAAACTAACTTCTCCGCAAGATCACCAAGGCCATTCAACCCTTCAAACTCTTCGTTAGAGCGCATGTCAAAAATATAAGTCTCAAGTTGATCGCTAAGTACAATACCATCTACTGCAGAGAAATCTAATGGATAAAGCTCAGCAAGTCTAATCAAATTTTTCTTGTCAAAAGAAGAAAATGAATCTTGTGGGCATAAACAAGCTACACAAAGGAGTAACTCTGTATTTACCTCCGAGAAACGATCATTCAATTCTTGAAGTTGTAAGTCGATGACAGAGTAGAACAAATCTACTCGATAATGATGTAAATTTGTAATTTCTGGAGAATTACGCTGAGGGCGACCACGAATTGCAAGGCGTACAAACATATCATCCATGTTGGGTACATGAATATAATGTTTTTGACAAAAAGAACATACTTCTTCCAAAAAGGAGTCTCACCCTTCGTCTCTCATTATTTGGAGTCGTCGTTTGCACAATCTTACCAATTGCATTGCATTCACAATATCTTGATCTTTTCTTTGCAATGCCTTTGACAGTTCATTTGAAATCCCCAACACACTTCTCATCAACTGTAGATTAAATGCAAAACCAAATCTTTGTATCAACTCTAATAAATTTGTTGCATCAAATCTTTGATCACAAGAACAAGACTCATCTTCAATAATTATTGCGAGTACATCTACAACAGAAGAGAACATGACAAGCAAGCTGACCAAAGAATTATAATGTGAACTCCACCGTGTATCACCAGAGTGCTGAAGGTCGTTTCTTGATTAAGTCCCCGTCCACTTAAAATCTCACCTTTTTCCAATGCCTCAGCAATAAAGTCTAATTGTTTTTCTCGAAGAAGATCACATCGTTTGGAAGATGCTCCAACAGTATTTATTACGTTCCCAACCACACCGAAGAAGTTAGTAATAGGGATGTTCTTCTTTGCCACAACCACAAGCGCAAGTTGGAGTTGATAAACAAAACAGTGAATGTAAAAGGCACATGGACTCTCATTCAAAATAAGTGTTTTCAGACCATTAAACTTACCTTGCATATTACTTGCTCCATCATAACCTTGTCCTCTCAATCTAGACATACTCAAGTTATATCTAGAAAATACCTTATCAATTGCAGCCTTAAGTGATAGAGCTGTGGTACTTGTAACATGTTCAATCCCTATGAAGCGTTCATTGACACGCCCACTATTGTCTACAAAACGTAAAACAATAGACATTTGTTCCTTCATTGACACATCACAAGATTCATAAACTAGAATAGAAAATAGCGAGTCACCAACATCTTTAATAATAACATTGATCGTTTCAATAGCACAAGCATTTACTATATCCTTTTGAACATCAGGTGATGTCAATTTGCAATTGTGAGGAGCATTTCCCAATGTGACGGCATCGATAACTTCATTATGAGCAGCCAAAAATTGATATTGCACTAAGAAGTTACCTGGATTGAGAAAATCCTCAGATTCATCATGACCTCGAAATGAGTGCCCTTGTCGCAAAAGAACTCGAACACAATCAATGGATGCATTAAGGCGTGTAATATATGCATTTCTTGCTTGTTCTGACTGTTTGTAGAAAACTGATTGAATGTGTTGCTCTTGATTCATCAACACTTCACATTTAATGCGAGCTTGATTATGTGCACTATCATGAAGCCCAACATGAGTATGAAGCCTTTTTTTATCTTTCCAAAATGTAAAATTTTCGCCAACAAAAGACTCACCTCCACCTTACTTTCCAGAACTTGTTCTGAAAAGATAACAATACAAACAATAAGCAGCATCCTTCTCTACACTGTACTCCAACCAACTACCGAACTCTTTAAACTACGAAGGATTGAATCGTCTAATTGTTACTCCAAATTGTCGTTTTGGAAAGTTATGATCTTGGGGCTGACAAGGACCCTTTAACATATATGCTCTTCGAACTTCATCTCGGATGTTAGAATTGTAATCCAAAATGGGTATCCTTAAACCAGGATCAGTTGGAAGTTTTGTGACATCAAACTCCACATCATTCGATAACCCCTCATCAACATCCACATTATTCGATGCCCCCTTATCAACACTATCTAAGTTCCTTTTTCGTTGAAAGTATCTATTCATTTGATATCTGGATTTAAACATTTGATATCTAGTTATTACTTGAAGTGAGTGAGAATAATTCATAATAACAAAAGGATCATAAATTCACAATTTCACAATTTCAATTCGCAAGTGCAATTCACATTTCACAATCCAATTCACAATTTCACATTATTAATCCAATTTCACAATATCAATTCACCTTCCAAATCGCAAATTCACAATGCAATTTCACAATTTATACTATTTCACAATTTCAAAATTTATACTATTTCATTGTGATGGCAGAAGCAAACCCAACTAAACAAGCCATAAATATGCTATTTCTGTAAGCTCAAAGATACTTTTGTTCCATATAGTCCTGCAGCAAGCCTTTTTGGCAATATTTGACATGTTAAACTGGCATAATTATATAATTAAAGAAAAGAAATACATAAACTTTCACCAACTGAAGTTGATATTTGATTATGATGGTGAGTGTTATATGTAATTTGAAACAATGCTTTGGCCTCTAAATTCATATTCTGTGCAAATAACGCATATTGCTTTTATAATATTTAAAGTTCACAACACAATAATATAAAATATATGTACTCATTTCTTAATGGGCATCTTGTTTTAAAGTAAGAAAAAGCACCAACTATGTACTCATCTTGTTTCTTAATGGGCATCTTAGGGTTGAAGGGATCTTTCTCTTCCACTTCTTCAAACTCCGACTTGTATAATTCATGGAGAAATTCCTTAAACAGTTGAAGGCACTCGAGTGTGAACATTACTACAGTTAAATGAAACACGCCCCTATGGAAACATCGATCAATCAAATTCCTAACAAAGGTAATCAATTCATCCCACCAATTCTCCACTCCCTGGTTCAATATTCTCCTACTAGTGTCACTCTTCTCAAATGAAACATTATTCAGAGCTAAACACACTTAACAAGTGAACAAGTACTATTTCATTGTGATGGCAATTTCACAATTCATACTATTTCAAAATTTATACTATTTCACAATTTCACACCATCAATCCAATTTCACAACATAAATTCACATACCAAGTTACTGACAGAGTGACTGAGTGAGAAACTGAGAATGATTGAATCAATGAGAATCTGCAAAATCGAAGAAATGAAAATTAGGCAGCAGGCAAAATCAAAGAAATGAAAAATTAGGCAGCAGACTTGCATCGGCAGACGGCTCACGACACTGCAGTTCAATTGGAATTTGGAAGAACATCTAAATTTGAAATTAATTACCTTCTTTAGTCTTTATAGGCGACAACTAGTGCGACCCGTGCGGTGGCGCCTGGCAGACGGTGGTTCAGTTGCGGCCTGTAAAGAAGATGCACTTCACCGACTTCAGTTTCGGCCTAATCTAGACGGCAAGGGCTGAGGGCGGAGCTTACACTTAGTTACAGGGAGCTAAGAAAAGGAGATTAAAGCCCACACAAAGGAGATGCCGGCCACCAGTGACCGGTGCAAGGACGGGGACGGGCGGAGCGACTTTGAGAGGCAGCGCAGGCGAGAGACGAGTATGGAGAGAGAGGCGATTAACGGATTAATGGTTTGGCCTGATTTTGATTTCAAACGGGTTAAGAATGATGGGTCTGGGTCACTGGGTCCGGGTCGGTAAACGTAAACGGGTTATGGGCTGTGGTTACTTGGGTTGGGCTTTCATCTGGATATTTACTTGTTAACTAGGCTTTCAAAAAAAATAAAAAAAAAATTTATTTGGGCCTAGAGGAGCCCAAACTGGACCTAATGGGGCTCCGCCCCTGGCTGATTGACTTTGTCAGCAAAAGTCATTTCGGACTTTCATTTCCAAGATTTTCTACATATAGTTTTGCCTTTTTTTTCTTTTTTTTTTTTTAAATTTCAGTTACTATATTCTTTGGCCGGTTTATCTAACAGTAGTTTTTAGTTTTACTTGAGCATTATTTAGAATAATTTTGTTCTATGTGGAATTGAAATTTGACAAAATTATTGCTCAGTTTCTCTTGCACCTATCCCAATTTCTCTTCACACACAATCTAGTGAATCTATTGTTGAAGATTTAATATCTACAGTTGTTTATTTTAGATGCAACAATGGTGAACCAACTTTTACATCCCTACAGGTACAAAATTTGATTAATGTTAATATCTATGTATGGTTCCCATTTGAACGTAAATAAAAGTATATAGTTTGTTGTATGTGAACTCGATCTACTTCCTGTACTATCCAATAATTTGAGCTACGAGTCTAGCTGTAATTTATGGTTATAAATCTCATACTTAGTCAAAACTTAAGTGAGTACTCAGTACTATTCCGTGGCTCAAAGGGTACATACATTTGGATGCAATTGAGACAACTTATAAATATATTATATACTGAATTGATCTAATGACTTTTATTCTCATAATTCCAACAGAAAATAGTACTCCCTGCCATTCTTGTGGAATTGTTTCTAATTTTTAACGTGGATAGTTAAATGGTAGAAATTAGAAAATTTTGGTCTAAATATAAGTGAGATATTATTATCGTACATTATAACTAAAACTAGTATTTTGTCACGTACTTGAATTGGATGGATTACACTGTTTACATGGAAATTCTATGATTTCATTTTGAACAAATGATTAAAAGATTTAACTCACAAATGTGTTTAATTATCCCTTTAGAAAATATTTAATTGTAACTCATGTGAATAATAGTGATTTTATTCAATTTAGATACGTAACTCATATTTTGAAGTTAGAATAATTAAATTTGATTTTAAGTTTTGAAAGCTTTATATCTTAATAATTAAATTTTATATGAGCTCTTATAATTTTAAGTTAGTAAAATGAATGCGTGTGGACGATGAATTTGGGCTATTTTCTATATTTGCTATAATTTCATGTGATTGTGCTTAATCGAAAGAATATTTCTTTTGCGGAATATTTGATTTACTATATTTGAAAATTAGTTCATGGTCTAATTAAATTTTGGCATTATGTTTAGCTAATATGGAGTACAAAATTGCAAGTATTTTGTATTCAAAGATTTATTTTATTCCTATAAAGGCACGTTTACTTGGATTAATATTGATAAACCGTATTTGATAATTTATGGTTATGTTAATTCTAATTCTTTATTGTCTAATGTTTTGTGATACATGAATATTATTGTGTTCAGTTACGTTGTCCAAGTAGGATTGTTTAAAATCTTTGGAGCGTGGGGGTATTAAAATTTCAAATATATGTATTGTATCCATATTTAGTCATAATTATCATGAAATTGACATTTTGAGCAAAGTGTACATATTGAAGTTGAAGATTGTAGGTGAAGTGGAAGATCTCAATGGTTGTATCTGTCCAACCATGATACTAGAAGTTAATATAAAGTTTCATGAAGTTATCTTTATTGACATTTCAAAAAGGTTCTTCGGTGACTTTGCAGATATATAGATGGGCAGGTGAAGAAGAAAACTTTGCATATTAATGGTACCAATTTATTGTCCAACAGGAACATGAATGTGTATAGTCCCAAATGGACATACATAAATCATCGAGAGGGATAAGGGAGTCACCTTCGGGAGTAACCCAACCTTTGTGATTGGAGATCCCATGAAGAAGGTTCAATGTCGTAGAAACAACCTGTACTGCGTGACTCGTAGTAGCACTATATCATTTGTGCTCATCCCTATGGTGATGGTACTAATAATAATGTGATGTTAGGAAGACTTTAACCCTGAATGAGTACTGATGTGAGAATTCTTGCGAGGTGTGGGTCACACATACCCTTGAAGGACTCACCTATGTAAGAGTTGTCATGAGACCGTGGCTATAGGATTGGGCTCTTCCATAAAGACTCTTACGAGAATCAAGATTAGAGCGTATGGTCATTAATAGCGCTACCCACCATGAACTGAGCATAAATCGATACTGTGTGTGAAACAATTAAAGTTTGTCCGAAGGGACCTAATCCAAGGTTTAGTCCATTATGAATCCCTAAAATGAAAATTGTTATTACTAAGTGAGGTTCAAGTCCAAAAGATACCGACACCTATTACACAGTATAACGTTGTTACTATTATATATATTTATCTATTTTGAAAATTTAAAACTTGGGGGGATTGTTGGAACATATTTTAAAGTTTTAAACTTTCACAATAAATATTAATTTTCATTTTTGATTTCAATATTAACTTTTAATACAAAATTAAATCTCATAATTTAGGTTGTAAATTAAGAATAAAAGTTTCAACCTTTCAAATTAAAATCTTTTTAATTCTAAGTTTTAACATAAAATTAAAACACCATAATACATATTATAACTTATGTTTTAATGATATAAATGTGGGGGTAGAATTTTCTACTATAAAAATGGGTGGAATTCACATTCTTTGATACACAGCAAATCAAACATAAAAGACACTCTATTATTTTCATACTACTCTATAATCATTTTATATTATATTTTTATAGTTTGTGGCAATTAGATGTGAGGTTTGTTCTTTATCTTCCTATGGTCGTGCCCGTAGAAGGAGAGCCATATGAGTTTTATTTTGAAGCCGTATAGTGCCGCAAGAATCCACACGAAGGGAAGACAACACGACTTTAGGACAGCGTCCTCGACGTAACTCCCAAGACTTGTCATTTCTAACTCTCCTCTTATATTTGTATTCTTATTGAATTATATTACTTATATGTTTATGTTTAAAATAGTTGTGCTAAATAATATTTTATCTACACACAAATCATCAATTTTCTCAACAAGAGGAAGCGATCGTCGTTGAAATCATCCTCAATATCTTCTAACTCTTCATCTGTTTTCCCATCTATCCATTTGTTTTTAGCCTTGGACCTTCCATATCTTTGTACACGAAGTGGTAATCTCCCATTTCCTTTTGCTGTGTCGTGGGGTTTCTCTGGATTAGATGGACCGATCGATCAATGGATTCAGGGAAAGCAAAATGAATAAAAGGAGGGCCAAAAGTTAAGAGCGTAAAAATTCGAGTTAAATGTTTCATTAGTTATTGAACTTTGCACCATGTTACGACTTAGTCACCGAACTTTATCAGTTGTCTCATTAGCCACTGAAGTTTACACCATTGCAGTCAGTTACTCACCAAATGAATTCCATCAGTACATCTATACAGGTTGGACATCGAAAAATCTAGTTGTACCGTTAAATACTTAAGTGGATCCTCCGCGTAAACCAAACACGTCTAATCATTTTCAAATAAACCCAAACACACCTTATCATTTCCAAATCCATAACACCAGCCCTCAAGTTTTATTTCATTTCTCTTCTGAACATCACGACAATAATTGGGCAAAAAAATGTCCCAAACAATAAACCCTAAATCCATTTCAAAATTCCATCTGGGGCTCTTGGTTCTTCTTTAGCTTTTACTTTGAGCCCGTATTGAATGAGAAATCAAAGGCAAAGATACTAATAAGTTGCTCTATGAAGTTTAAAATATCGGGTTTTTGCCATGGAACTTTGAAAAATGTTAATACATTACTTATTGAACTTTGAAAAATATTGTACATTACTAACTGAATTTTGAAAAATATTATACATTATTTACTGTAAACTCGATCTTTTTCAAAATTTAACAGTTATACTAGTAAGTAACGTATGACATATTTCAAAGTTTAGTAATCAATACTCGACATTTTAAATTTTAGTGAACAATCTAAGATATGGATATAAGTTTAGTGAGGTAATCTAAGATATGAATTTAAATTCAGCGAACAATTGAAAACATTGACCTAAGTTCAGTAACTAAAATTCGACATTTTAAATTTTAATGATCAATTAAAAATATGAATCTAAATTTAATGATCAAAATTTGACATTTTTCGAAGTTTAGTGACCACTAATATGGACCTAACTTCAGCAACATTGGAACAATTAACTTGAATACTGAAGTTGCTAAAAGGAAAATTTTAGGCAAAGTCGTCAACCGCAAACCGGAATTAAACCACTCCAATACCGTCGATAAACCCGGCCACCGCCGGAGTGTAAAACACACATCCATTTGATGAGCCAGTTCGTACTCTTACATATTTATACGTATGATTATCTTTCCATTTGCGTGTAAGTAAGTACATAAATGGATATACTGTTCTCTCAGATCCAAGCGGACCTCCGGTCCAACGATGCGCTCCGTCAGTCCGGCGCCCTTCTCCAAGCCCTCCAGCAGTCTGCTGCCGGAC